TAATTTTTAACCATTTGACCCTTTTTGGAGCGACATTTTTTCAATTTGAATCGTAATATCTCCACAACTAGAGTTTTCCCAGATTTGATATATAGCAGATGAAAGCTAAGGTTTTGGGCTAGATTTGTGGAAACCTGGAATAAAATCGACTAACCAGTTGTCGAGAAAATGCCGGAAATGTATATTTTCAGCAGCCCGATTTTTAGTTTTCAGGCGAAACCATGTCATAAACACAAAAGATAGCGTTCGATAGCTTGTTTGAAGACCCTTCTACTGATGTCCGCATCAATGACATGGACTGAGTAGTGCGGCCTCAGTGGTAGTTTAAAAAAATGGCTTTTTTCGAATTTCAGGCAGCAGCCACGCCCACAATGGCATACGAATCAAAACACCTTGGAACCAAACCTTCTTAGTTTCTTTTGTACTTTAATTCCTGAAAGTTTGAAAAAAATTAAATGAAGGTACGTACAGACGCCACATACATACCAAGGCATCTCGTAGTGGAGACACGAACCAAAACACATTTACCTCTATATCTTTCCAACTAGTAGCCGGAACTTAACCGGTTCCCTGTCCAATGAATCACATGTGATTCATGGGAACAGTTTTTTACCTTGTCTCACAAGTACATGCACCATATATGAGCAAAATCAATGCTGCCTTCAGATACATATTTCTAGGTATTTTGCAAAAAATATAGTGTTTTTGTGTGGGAACATACAAAACAGTTGTGGATTGAATATGATACATAGGGCGTACCTTATCGAAAACTATTTCCCACCCTTATGTATAATAAATGAGAAANCCGGTTCCCTGTCCAATGAATCACATGTGATTCATGGGAACAGTTTTTTACCTTGTCTCACAAGTACATGCACCATATATGAGCAAAATCAATGCTGCCTTCAGATACATATTTCTAGGTATTTTGCAAAAAATATAGTGTTTTTGTGTGGGAACATACAAAACAGTTGTGGATTGAATATGATACATAGGGCGTACCTTATCGAAAACTATTTCCCACCCTTATGTATAATAAATGAGAAATTAAATATTTTATTTTTTTTTGCATTAGGGCATATAATCTACGCTCCTTGCATATTTTTATATGCAAATAATATCAAATTAGATAAAGAATCCTGAAAAGAACAGGGGACGTATGCCATGAAAAAAGATGTATTGCATGAGGACAGGGAACCTGTTAATATATATAGAATAACACTAAATATGTTGGGTGTACCCAAATGCCCCCTTAAAGCGGCAAAAACAAAAAAAAACGTTTTTTGTTTCGCGCCACTTTAGCCTAATTTTTAAGAATTCGGTTAATCGTTTATGAAGCTTGAATACATTTGCTGGGCACACTCTGCAAGACCTTTCCAACGATATCTCAAACATGCCGATTGGCCGTCTGGATAAAAACTTCCAAATCTCGTGTATATATAAGCGAGTCATTTCAGCATGCTACTGTGGCTGCTTTCGTCACTCGCGCGCACTGCCGTGCGCTGTGATAAAGCCGAATAGGATTATTAAAGAAACTTTCACACTGTCAATTTTTTAATATTAAATTTTTCGATAGGGAACGTGGTTTAATTAGGTTAAATTGTAAAAATATATGATTTACCAAAAGAACTGATAAAGAAAACGTTAAAAACGGTGATTTTTGTGAAAACGAATTGCCGGGCATTGAATGGTTCTCAGGCGGTGTTTACTTGTACTTGAGAATTGTCAAAATCAGCGGAACGCGCCACTTTATACATATGTAATGGTGATTTCGTTTCTACCAAAAAATGTTGCCCTTGCACGGTGCAAAATGTGTTTGATGTTACACTCAACCCTTTGAAAATGCATGTTTTGCTTTCTTGTCCTTGTCCAGATCACGCATTTCATCATATTGTCGTTTTAAGAAACCATCTGATTTTCAGGGAAATCATCTCCCCTGACAAAGCTTCAAAGGGCAGAAAATGTGCTTTATATGCCTTACAAGAGTGTGACATTTTAAGAAACGAACACAGAATTTTCTCAAGGGCAATCAAAAGGCGACATTTTTTGGTAGAAACGAAATCACCATAAGTAATTACAAATCTATGAGTATGCATGTGTGTACTTTAGCTTTAATCATAATCAGGGGCGAACGCAGGTAGGGGTTTTGGGGGTTCAAACCCCTCCCGAAATGCCTGCTGAAAATTTTAAGAAATTTCTCTCTTTGTATTTAGTTAATTACGTAAACAAAAGCAATACTGTTTTTATTTCCGTAAAAGTTTGTACGAATTTTCAACTATTCGCAAAAATCTGCAAATAAAGAACAAACCGAGGTGAATGAGCACAAGCTTGGAAGCATAACCGGACTAAATATTGATGTTGATAGATAACTCATACGCCATGACATTTTAACGATATACATTTTCGACCCCGCGCCCGCACTCACAGACACCATGTCTGTATGTATGTTGACTTATACTTGCAACAATGCACTTTCAACATAGGCTGGAATAACTTTAAGACCATAAGAATTGGCAGGCAAACTTGAATTCACCTATATATATAAATGTGAATGTCTGTTTGCTTATTACCTTATAACTTCTGAACCGCGGCACGGAATCGCACGAAACTTTGCACACTTATTTGCTTTTTCCCCGGGAAGGTTATAGGCATAGAGAAAAATGGGCAGTGCTGGAAAAGAGGGCGTGGCACCTCCTATACTTACTAAAATTTTCATATGGTATATCTCTTGAAATATTTGTGGTAAAGCATTGGAACTTGCTGTCGAGATAAATAAAATTAATTCCATACTCATGGGAAAAAATTGGCGGTATTGGAAAAGGTGGCGTGGCACCTCCCATGGGCGTGAATTATTTAATCAGCTCTAACTTCGGAACCGTAAGTCACATGAACTTGAAATTTGGTATGCAAACATATCTATAGTAGATGCTTATCTTAAGGTATATGTAAATGAGTTTGTAAAAGGAGGCGTGGCAGATAACATAGGCGTGGAATTTTTAGTCAGTCATAACTTCGGAACATAAGTCACATGAACTTGAAATGTGGTATGCAGGTATCTACGTTAGGTGCTTATAGTAAGGTATATATATAAATAAGACTGTGGAAGGGGGCGGAAAATCCCAAAGGCGGGGAATATTTTACCAGTTATAACTTCGGAACCATAAGTCACATAAACATAACATTTGGTATGCAGACATATCTATGGTAGGTGCTTATAGTAAGGTATATATAAATGAGTTTGTAAAAGGGGCGTAGCACTTATCATAGGCTTGGAATTTTTTGCCATAGCTTCGTAACCACAAGTCACATGACCCCTATAATTCCTTCTGGCGTGGGGTGAAACCCGCGGGTAAAAGCTAGTTTTCTATATACTTTAGTTAAAATTCTGTTCAAATTTCAAGTCATATGAAGTACGTTGTTCAGCAGCCAGCCCTCCTGATATCAATTTACATGCATACTAGCTTTTACCCGAGGGTTTCACCGCACGTCTTTATACAAATATGAAAAAAATTTTATGTAACGATGTTATATTTCATTTCTTCTCGAATTTTAATATAGCCGTGATAGCATAATAACGTAGAATAGTTGTTTAGCTGGGGTGCTATGAAATCAAAAGCAATAATATGTTTATAATAAAATAGTTTTAATAAATTATATAGATAATAGTTGAAATACCAAAGTTGTATTGTAATAACTAAATTTTAACTATCTAATTTCTTACTCTAATATTATTCCGCAGCACGTTTTTAGTACTTCAATGCATCTATTAACATAGATGCATTTTCCAATGCAATTATCATAAATTTTATTTTCGATAAAGAGTTGGTTTTATTTTAAGGCATCCTTTTTTATTGTCATTGCAAAAGCTAAGTGAACTGGAAACTGAAGTTTTTTAAATTCTAAAGGCATATCAGAAGGAATTAAAGGGGTCATGTGATTTGTGATTCCGAAGTTATGGCTGATAAGAACTTCCACGCCCATGTTATGTGCTACGCCCCCTTTTACAAACTAATTTATATATACCTTACTATAAGCACCTACCATAGATATGTTTGCATACCAAATTTCAAGTTCATGTGCCACGCTCTCTTTTATATATACCTTACAATAAGCGCCTCCCGTAGACATGTCTTCGTACCAAATTGCAAATTCTTTCGACTTATGGTTCCGAAGTTTTAGCTGATTAAACATTTGCAGGTCTATTGGCGGTGCCACGCCCCCTTGCGAAATTTACGACATATTTTCAAATAAGACCATACCTATAACCTTCCCGGGGTAAAAACAAATAAGTCTGCCAAGTTTCGTGCGATTCCGTGTCGTGGCTCAAAAGTTATAAGGTAATAAACAAACAGACATTCACATTTATATATATAGATAACAAGCTAAGCTCACAAAAAATTTCAATCGATCTGAAGAATGATGGGTTTTTTGGGCATGAGCTCTCCGTCTAGATGCTCTGGTAACACCACTTTATATACATACATACTTTACATAATCCCTAAAAGTACTACATATATACTATATGCACATTTTGGTTTGCGTTTTAAGGTTTTCGAAGCTTTCGAAAGGGGAGAAGTAATTTAAATTAATTTACATATCTAACTGGGAGAAAAAGTGTATTTTCAATGTCGCTGAATCACCAGAGCAAAAAGTGCTACGTACCGAATGCATTCTGTAAAAATAACGAACTATTTTAAACTGATAAACTTCTGCCCCTCCGGCTGCCGAATTTTCACAAACAGCCGAAAATTCATCTCACGAGTGTCAAGTACGGAAAAAATGAATACGCTCCGGCGCTGGGAAACTTGGTGCAGCTGATTCCAGAGTAAGAGTTCATTTCCACCACGCCTTAACTGCAGTTAATGCCTATGGGAAAAGGAAATTAAAACAGCTCTTGGTGAAAGTGGGCTATAAGTTACCCGAGTCCCACAGTTCTCAGGACGTAATGATGAGATAGAGAAAATCTTATTGGAATTTTACTAGCATGTATGAATACTAACGTTTAGGCGTAGTTTGATTAAGGCCCAAAAATGGTCGCTTCCCTAAGTTTAAAAAATCAACACCCTCATTGTTTTCAATATGCCGGTAATTTCACAACCCTCTGCGTCACGAAAATCAAGTTTTAAGTTCTCTGCGACCGAATTTATATATCCACGTCCTTGCAGGTTCCGCTTAATGATGCGTCAAATTTTGGTCACCGTAAACTAAGCGATAACGAGAATTATGAGCTCCTTGAATGTCCGTGGGCACCGGATGCTGCTTTTACATTTCCGCCTTCGACTAAACGTAATTTGACATTTCAATTATCATGTGTTAAAATGTGTCAAAGGTAATTTTCTACATTTAAATTCAAATGCCATGCTAATATTTAAATTAATATTAGCGGTATTCATCTAAACCGATAGCTTTATCAAGCAGATATTCTTATAAATTTAAGAGCTCTGTTACATGAACGCCCCATACTCTTTTTTTGTATACACTTGCGACAGAGTTACATTGTCTTCAGGTTATCAAGATTATTCAGTGATATCGTTGTAGAAATTTATTTGAAATGTGTAAACGAGTTTCCATACAAATTTTGACAGTTGATTTCCAAAGTTTACACGATTATAATTTTATACGGTTTATAAGGTTTGATGTATTATTATGTTTCTTTACAGGCATTTTTTCAATGTACCTACGGAGCATAGTCCAACACCATTCCTAGACGCTCCTGATGTTTGCAATCAATCACTGTACCTAAAGGTATACCGATTCTTGCAGATAGGGCCAACACTTCCTGTGACACTTATTTCCAGTGAACGCTCCTTCTTAAGCTTGAATCATATTTACGAAGTAAAACTTGGGAACAAAGATTAGATGGTTAAGCTTTACTTAGCATCCACAGAAATATAGGAGTTGCGAATAAAGAAATACTGATTACAATAATTTCTTTTAAGTCAAAGCAGTAGAGAAATAATATTTCACATTTTTCATGCATACATATGTAATAACTCGAATTTATTGAAAAAAATATAAACATTTTGTACTACCGAAACGCATATTTGGTGCAACTGATTAAATGAAAAAAAAAATAATAATAATTTTAAAACCCCTCCCAAAAAAAAATTTCTGCGTTCGCCCCTGATCATAATGCTTAAACGTGATTTTGTTGCGATTTCATGATATTTTGCTCTATTTCTATTTCTTATCGTTTCATATTAAAAAATTGGAGATAAGCGGATAAATAAGCAAAATGCCAGAATCTTGCCGAACTTGTGCCAAAGAATGCCAAATACAGAATTCGAATAAAGTGATTTCGATCCATAGTGTCAGAATTGGCAACAAATATAATGAACAAACTGCTCGGAACAGGTGAACATTTCATACTTTCGAATGTTGTTTACTATGCTTTTGTTAATCCCGCATGTTTTTGTTGGCCCTCACACATGTTCATTTGAGTTGATTTAACATAACCACTAATACCTTATTTTATTTGCGAAAAATAGTATGTATGTATCCCCGCGCCCCTTCCACTTATGCATAAAAAACTTTGCGAAATGTGGATACACGTAAATCGTAATTTCAACACTTAACACCATGTAACAGTGAAAATAAACTTCTTAAATAACGAAGTCTCACGAATAGCAATGCACGAAACTGTGATCCCAAATTACATTGCAAATCAAATTTTCAACTTTTAGTTTTTTCTGTACTAAGTCGTACCAAGACATTCTGAAAAAATGAAAAAGTGAGATTCGACTCTCAAAAAAGCAGCATGGGAGAGCTACAGCGAAACCTTGAAGCATATAGCAGAATGAATTTTCTCAAAGCCTACCATGTCTTGGGCATTGCCTTACAAAATACGGGGGCCAGACGATATCATCCCTATAATGTAGAAAACTGTGGAGGGTGGGTGGTATCATGACATAGATTTTGTAAATTTTCAAAGGCTGCATAGAAATTAACTTTTCGCGGAGGCGAGTAAAGTGGTTTTCATCGCAAAACCTGGTAGGCGAGGGCATGTCTACGCCAAAGATTTTCGACAAATTAGCTCAACTTCCTTTGTTCTCAAACCTTTCGAGAGGGTTATAGACGCGCACTATCCGGGGGTTTTCCACGGCGACGGTATGTCTGAGGCACAGACCTCATATTTACGGGAAAGATCCACTTAGAGGGATGAAGTCGTTAGAACAGTCGAGAGGTCACTCGAATTTAAGCAGTATACTCTGGTAGCCTTCCTCGACAAAGGAACAGGCTTTAACAATATTCGGGTAGAAGCCACCCAAAAACCCTGGACGAACTTGGTGTCGAGGAGTCGATAAGCGCATGGTTAATGGCGTTACTTCTCAGCGATTTCAGCTTAACTTCGCAGCTACAACTAATAAGTGACATTAGTAGGGGCTCTTTTCAAGGTGGTGTGAATTCTCCAATTTTAAACCTATGGACTTTATTACCTTTTCAAAAGAAAAAAGGTAATAAAGTAAATGATGCTATTTCCTAATTCAAATGGAAATAGGTAGCGTGAACAATGCTTAAAGTATGTCGATTTTGTTCTTTCATCGTACGTGAGATATGAATGTTACAATGAACATTGCCCCGTAAGTATTTCCAGAGAGGTTATTGCCAAATCCTCAGTGCTATTAATCAACACAATCACGAACCATCAATTGATTTTATAAAAAAAAACTTAAAATTACGAATATAATAAAAACACGATGCGAAAAACCAAAACGAAAAAAGAGCTGGAATACGAGAAAACTCGCAAAAATGTTTCGTTTACAAAAATAATACGAACACTACTGAATAATAATAATAATAATGATAATAATAATAATAATAATAATAATAATAACAACACCGGAACGACCCCTTCATATCGAAGGCCGGGTTTTGGATACTCTATCCCTGACATAACCCTGGTCTCAGAAAGCCTTCTCCGAAGGGCTGACGGATGGAGAGTGATGGAAGACCTGAGTGGTAGCGAAGACAACTACATCACCTTCCAAGTCACTGACATCACGCGAGGGCAAACACGTAGTATCCCTCGCAGGAAACCAGGATGGAACCCGTCTAGGGTCGATGTTCGCAAGTTCGA